TTTTGCTCAAGCACCAAAAAACATTTTAGCACACCCTTTTTTTTATGTACCACTTTAGATGTTTGTTCTATATCATATATCCTTTGCCTACCTGATTGCCTAATGAATCTCATAATTTTGAGATTCATCATTGCATCTCAAAAATATGCAGACAAGGATCTGGTAAATAGATGTAAAAATCAAATTCAAAAATAAAAGCATTCAAAACATTATTTAAAATAACACACGCACACAAAAAAGAACAAACTTTGTTTAATCCTTCTTAGGATTTTAATACATTACAGATAAAAAAGTGATTTGAGAATTTTTGGAATTCCTTTCAGTGCCATACCCAGTAATAGTTTCGGCAATACCAGTATAAAAAAACTTCTTCAGTTTTATAAAAGTATAAGTAAGCAACATTTATTAAGTTTATACTGTAATTATAGTTATTAAACGCATGCTTAAAAAAATATTTTTTTACATGTTTGTTTGCTTTTATTAAATAATGTTGGACTTTATTAATATTGAAATTTATAGCTAATAGAATTTTTAGTTAAGGTGCATTAATTTGGGCACCCATACCGCTCAAATGGTATAGAATTAGGTCTGCGTATGGCGCTGCCTTTCTTATTTATTAGCTTATCATTTGTATCATTGTGGAGTTAAGTTTACAGGTTGGAAAGAAAGAAACCAAGTAAGAGATTTACCAAAATGTGATCCAGACTACTCTGTTCAAGATATCAAAAAATAAACAGGTATCTTCAAAATGACAATTTAAAAAGTCAATAGAGATACTGCTACAAGAAATACAAGACAGAAATATCCTGGAAGATTAATTCAGCTATGCCATGTGGCTGGATAGCTCAGTTGGTTTGAGAGCCTATTGAAAAAACAAGTTGATACTAATAACAAAACAGTTGTTTTCTATTTGCATATATATATATATAATATATATATATATATATATATATATATATATATATATATATATATATATATATATATATATATATATATATATATATATATATATATATATATATATATATATATATATATACATATATATTGCTTATATCTTGCTTATATATATATATATTGCTTATATCTTGGTCATGGTTTTAGGAACCTGCATTATCCAATCTTCGATTAAAAAGTCTTATTGAAATATTATCATTAATGGATGAACAAGATAACTGGTGTTATGTATTTGATGAGAAGGATAATGAGTATAAACCAATTCAAACAAGTGAAAAAATTACTTTATCTCCAGAAAAGAAATTCATAGAGCTATCAGAAACTAGTCAAGAAGAAGTTGAGGTAACGATCTAAAATCTCCTTAATATTAAAAAATGAGTTTTAAATTAGATTTTCTCTTGAGTGATAAAATATTTTATGATGCTCACAGGACTTTGAAGATGACATTATTTATGAAGATGATGACAATGAAGACTTTCAGTAATTTTTTTTTTTTTGATTCTATTATTTCAACATTAATGTTAAAAATAACTAGTTTTGTATTTGTGTCTTATGCCAATGTTATGTTAATAAAATAGAAGTTTAATAAATCAATATTTTTTTTTACTGAAACATTAATGTAGGACTTTTACTTTTTATTTATTATTATTTTTTTTTTTTGCCATGATTTTTGGCTGTCTTAACAATAACTGTTTGTTGTTTTCGAAAATCGAAAAAAAAGCGAAAAAAAAGTATTTAATACAATATATTTTACATATTTTTGTATTATTTATGTTAAATAATAATTAATTTAACATACTATTATGTTAATTTATGTTAAACTTTCTGTTTTAGTGAAACAGCACAGATTAGTGACTTAAAGGTTGTTTTTTTATATATTTTACTTGGGTTTTTTCTTTTTGCTTTTTTATGTTTCAATTTATTTTTATATGATTTTGTTTATTTTTAAGTGTATTTCAAGTTAATTTTAAATGTTTTTTTTTTTAAATGTGTTTTCAAGTTATTTTTAGTGTTTATTGTGTTTTGTGTATGCCCATTTGATATTGTTTCTTGTAAGCATGCTTGATGTTGTTTTGTGTAAGCGTATTTGATATTTTTTGTATATGGTGCAAGTTTATTTAATTTTATTTTATTAAACTTGATGTAATTTTTTTTTATGTTTTAAGGCTCAAAAGGTTGCTTTACAAAAAATTATTCAAGCACAAGAAGAACAGCGAAATGCTGCAATGGTAAATTTACTTTTTGAATATAATTTGCTTTAAATATTTAAATTAGTGTATTTAACTGAAGGTGTAGAAGGCTTTATATTTTCATGACTTTAGATTTTTGTATTTGTAAGTAAAAATTACGTTTACATTTTTTAACTAAAATATATATTCTGTTAGCTATACTAACAGAGCTTACATTTCCCAACTTGGTCTTGTCTAGGAGCTCCAACTCCTACATAAGAGGTCTATGTTTTTGCCTTTTTATAAGATTTTCCTCTTTTGTTTACTGTCTCTTCTTGACTGCCAGGTCTCCTTCTTTTTAAGTCCTTCTTTTAACTAATGTGTAAAAAGAAAATTCAATAGAGTTATCAAAGTTATTTTAATCATTTAATTTTGTGTTGCTTTTTGTATATATATTCTTTGACATATTTAAAATAGTAATGTTGATGACATAATGTCATTTTAGAACTTCATTTTTTGATGTTATTTGTCAATAATTTTGAATTCATTTATCAATATTCGAAAAAATAGAATGCAATTTTTTTTACCCAATGTTTCAGAGACTTTGAGGAGTGTAAAAAATTACTATCAAATTTCAAAAAAAACATTTTGCATTGGAGTATCACTTATTGGATACTCTATTGCAAAATGTGTGTCAGTTTTACAGTGTCTTAGGATATTCTAAGTCAAATTAGAGATAAAATTGTGTGTGCGTATTGTGTGTGCGTGCGTGTGTGTGATAAATTTAAAAAATCAGCTGTAAATCACGCAGATTTATTATAAACTCATAAAATTATGCCTCTCGGAATTTAAAAATGCTACAACTGTTGAATATATTGTTGAATACAGCTGTGAGTGTTTCAAATGTGATATGTGTTGACTGTAGTGCTATTAAAAAAGAAAGATGTTTTGTGTTTCGGAATAATTTTAAAGTATTTTGGAACAAATAAAAAGTATTTTAGTTTATTAAGGTTATTGTTAGATACATTTATGCACCTCACAATTATGTTATAATTACCAAGCTATATAACTTGTTGTTTTGTTTAAAGGCAGTCATTGAAAATCAAAGAAGGTTGGGTCGCAACATATTCGAGAACTGCCCATCAACAATAGTTGCTGATACAAATTGTTATATTGATCATTTAGCATTAATGCAAGCACTCTTGCAATCTAAAATGTTTTGTATTGTTGTTCCATTGATAGGTTTGATATTTTTTAAATTTTATTTTTTTCTGGCTATAAATAATAGTAATTGAAATCTTGAATGAAGGAATTGTTGTTTGTTTTTTTAAATTTCTATATATTTGTTTTACCTTTAATAAAATTATTGACAGCTCAATGTTTTTTCAAAATGTTTTGTTTTATATTTTTTAATTTCTCAAGGTCACTTGTGCAGATTTTAAATTATTTATTTAAACTTATTTTTCAAAGTTAATGCTGATAACGTTTTTTAATTTTTATTTTTAGTTATTAATGAGTTAGATGGGTTAAAGAAGGGTTCAAGCAATACTAATCACCGCTTACAGCAAAGTGCAGGGTATTTATTTATAAATACAATTGATTGTTGAGCTATTTGAAATATTTTTTTTAATATTTAAATTTTTATATAGGGTCAATCAAAAGTGTTATATAATCAATTTTTTTATAACAAAGAATGAGCATAGAACAATTAAATTAAGACTGGATCATAAGTAGGCACCTTGCTTCAAAATAATTTCATTTAAATCTGTTTTTCCAGTTGTCGTTGCATATAGTTATGTGAATGTGACCCTAAGTTTGTCTCCATGACTTCTTCAACCTCTTCCTTTGCCTGAAAATCCAAATCCTTGCAATAAAATTTAAATGAAGAGAAAGCATGTCTGTCCAAATAGTTAAAGTTGGGGGTATATGGAGGTTGAATGACACGGGTAACTTCTCAGCAAGAAAGTCTCTGACTGCAGCAGACACATGTGGCCTGACATTATCATGCTGAAGGAGCATTGTGTTTCATGTTACTCTTTTTGAGCCTTTGTGTACAAAATTAGAATGCATATTTGATAGGAAAAGCATGTACGCTTCTGAATTGATCGATAGTCCATTTTGAAGTACCTTAACATAGGCCTTGCCATCAAATGAGATTTGATGGCAAGGCCTATGTTAAGGTACTTCCAAATTTGCGCTCATTTCGATCTGTGGTAAACCCACTTTTCATCAACAACAGTTAGACATCGTTCAACATTTACTTCATCTCGTAGGATGGTCAGAAATTTAAAGTTCATCCAGATTTTATTGATTTGCTGGGGTGAGGCCATATGGGATCTATTGTGAACAAATTGGCCTTTGCATCGCTTTTTTGGTGATTATTGAATAAACTGAGCCAAAAGAAATGTTTCTGAAATCACAAATTTGCTCAGTTTTTAAAAATTTGTCTTCATCAAGCAGTTGTTGAATGGTCTCAATGTTGTCCATAGTTGTTAAGGTACTGGGTCTACCTGACCTTGATTCATCTGAAAACTTCTTTAGAAAACTTTTTCTTCTTTCTGTAAATTTTAAGTTTTTCCAGTGAAATTCTAAGTTTGAAAAAAATACATGTTTATAAACAGGTTTGTTAAATAAAGTCAGCATCAAACGAATGTTCAAAATTTTATCTAAAAAAATTTAGTTTTTTTACAGATTTCAGAGCATGCATCTCTATTTAGTTCTTTGAAAGTATTATAAATTTTTATTTTATATATAACCAAATTGATATCTGATATTAACTAAATTTATATCTTATTTTAAGTAAATTTTTAAGTGATTAGGCTCTATCTATAAACAAGCTAACTTTTTATTTGCTGACTTTTTATCTTTTTGTGGGGAATAAAAAATTGAAGTACAAGAGGATTTGTAAAGAAATCAATGCAACATTTCATTGTTATCTCATTATACAGACATGCATGTATATTGTTTTTAATGCTTTTTAGCTTAATCTTTTTCTTTTTATTAACTTTTTCTATTTTTTATTTTTTTATATTTCTCATTCAGTTAAATAACGTTGGGCAAATAAAGTAGTAGCAAAAAAATGATTTTCAGTGAGAGTTGTGATAGCTTTTATTATTTTATTCTTTTGAATTACTTTATCATTAAACCATTATCTTTTTCCAGATATATTTGGCATTCCAGATATTTCTTTCAACATTTAGTTTTTAAGTTTTAGTTAAAATAAGAAAAGGTTCAAAAAAGATGAGAAAGCCATCAGCTTAAAGCTAAGCTGATGCTGTATGTAGCTGTAATTGAATGCTATATTTGTTATTTATGTAATGTAAAAATATAAAAAATATAAATTTAATTGATGTTTTATTAAACTATAATTGAAGCTATATTAAAGGAAAAGAATTTTTTTTTTTTAATGCAAAGTGTGTTAGATTTTTAAAACGTGATCTGGATGATCATTAATCATAGTGATGACAAAATGTTAGTTTGAAATTAGTTTCAAATACTTCATTTTCTTTAACTTTAAAAAATTTTTATAAAGAATATAAAGCCATTCCCTCCCCTCCCCCTCCTACCTTTCTATTTTTTTTTGGTGTTTTTTTTTTTTTGTGTTTGTGTTTGTTTCCATTTACCTTCTTCATCTTCAAATATTTTCATTTTATTTACACACAGCTTTTTCTTTTTAATTTCGAGAACTGACAACAATTGATGTTTGATCTTGATTAAGTCTAATTTATGATTCCAGCAATGACTAGAACTCAAACATTTTTGATCTGAAGAGACCTTGACATAGATAATCTAACAATTTAAAGATAGTCTAACAATTTAAAGAGCTTATAAAGAAAAAAAATTATGTTCTTTTTTTTTGTTCATTATTTTAGATTAGCTGTCGATATGTTAGAAGATTGGTTCAGCAGGAAAGATTCTTGTTTACGTGCTATCACAAGTAATGGTACAGAAATGACTACAATTGCTTTTCGTGCTGAAGAGTTTTCAAACGATAGAGTATGTTTTTTGCATATTTATGTTTTATATTTAAAATTTATTTATGTTTGCAATTCTTTTTTTCTTTTTTTTTTTATAGTTTTTAATGAAATTAAACAATATTCATGAATAAATAATAAAAAAATTGATAGGAATTTTCTTTTTTCTTTTGGTGCACAGTTAAAAATCTGATCGCAATTCTACTCACAAGAAAAAACTCTTTTATTGCTATGTGTTGAAAGTAAATTTTATTTTAAGAAATTTTTTTTGAGATTACAATCAGAAATAAAAAAAATGGCATGCACAATAAAACTTTTGCAAATGCTAACTTTGCAATGGCTTATATTTCTGGTTTTCCATGAAAGGTCATTGAAAAGTCAGTGGTGAAAAAAATGTAAGGTAGAAAACTAATTACGATTGATATTATTCATCAATATTGTAAACCAAAACCAAGGATGGGACGCACTAAACCAAAACCAAGGATGGGACGCACTAAACCAAAACCAAGGATGGGACGCACTAAACCAAAACCAAGGATGGGACGCACTAGTACCAAAAAGTTATTGTAAATAAAGGATAGTGTTATCCATCATTGACAATTTTAATACTTAAAAAGTAATAGTTTAATACCTTTGAAAAATTTTCCAGATCATATGGAACCAGTTTTTTGAAAAGACCAGCATGCAAGACTTGAACAAAAGCTTTTGACATGTTGAAAGCAAGGGTTCTCTTGTTCCATTTAATGCATGAACCTTTCTGTTATAATGTTTAAAATGTCAGTTGTAGAATAAATGTCTGCTTTGAATGTCAGAGAATAAGTTGTTTGACTGAAGATGAGATAGAAGTTTAGTAGTTAAAGACTCAAAGCTGTTAGTAGTAAAAAGACTGATTCAAATATTGTCAAAGGATTCTGAAAGGCGTTTTTAAATCTGAACTATAGTATGGTATTTTCCAGCTATCAGGAAGATTCTATCAGGAAGATTCTATTAGGAAGATTCTATCAGGAAGATTCTATCAGGAAGATTCTATCAGGAAGATTCTATCAGGAAGATTCTATCAGGAAGATTCTATCAGGAAGATTCTATCAGGAAGATTCTATCAGGAAGATTCTATCAGGAAGATTCTATCAGGAAGATTCTATCAGGAAGATTCTATCAGGAAGATTCTATCAGGAAGATTCTATCAGGAAGGTTCTATCAGGAAGATTCTATCAGGAAGATTCTATCAGGAAGATTCTATCAGGAAGATTCTATCAGGAAGATTCTATCAGGAAGATTCTATCAGGAAGATTCTATCAGGAAGATTCTATCAGGAAGATTCTATCAGGAAGATTCTATCAGGAAGATTCTACCAGGAAGATTCTATCAGGAAGATTCTATCAGGAAGATTCTATCAG